GAACCTTGAAGACTTGCGACATCCTTTGTATTACAAATTCACAAAATGGGAGCTAATAATATCCACTATAGTTATGATGTAAGTAAGAAAGTTGGTCTAGGTCTTTTTTCTATTATTCCACAGTCAACAACATAGACACTAGTTTTGCAATTCATGATACAAATATGCTACGGAGAAAGATGTCTGTAATTTAACATTATCAACCCAAATGTAATGGTTTTGTGAATGACTAAGGAGTAAAAAAAATCACAATGGCTTTGGGAGCAATGCACACATAGAGAAACCAATCAACCCAATGAGTTTAGTCAGGAAGACAATTACTTCTAGCAGTGTGATATTGTGTTTATGAAGGAAATGTACACAATACTCATTCTCCTGTGTCCATAGTAGATTACTACGCTGGTATTGTCTATCTGCCTTCTCATTCTGCAGAATATTCCATTTTACATGAAACAAATTCCAAATTGTTATTTGTTTAGATCTATAAATATTCTAATGTATTAACATTAATGGCTTTTATTAACCATTGACAAATTAAGTGTATGAGGGAGAAGATGAATAAGGGCAAGAGTTCTATATGGCTAACAATGTCCTGAGCAAGTGCATCTGCATTTGAAAGGATGAATAATTATGAAGGAGATGCAGTTTTGTTTTTTCAGTATATCTATTTAGTATTCATCATGTATTTGTGGATACAGATTCCACCAAATGTCATCTGTTTTATACAATAATATTTTGATGTTATTTTATGGAGAATTAGTACAGAGAGGTACAAAGATAATTCTCTTTAATATGAAGCCTTCTTAACAATATTCTACAGTCATGTAAACACAGCCATTGAGAGTGCTATTATTCCATATAATGAAACTCATTATATCTACCCATTTCAACTTTTTCTTGGGTCAACCTTTCACCAAATTTAGCTTTTACAAGAATGTCACATTGTACTTGTAACCATTATGTATGTTTCCATAAATACTTAGCATGTGCTTGATGACTAAAATCCACACTGTGGTTATTTGGGACCATCTCACCTGTCATAAATGAAGATTGTGTAACCGACAGGGGACAGGAAAGTTGTGGACTCATGTAATCATTATGCCCTCTAAAGATCTTATGGTATGTGCTAACACAAGTTTCCTGGAAATCACCTAGGATGTTTTGTGTACTGAATGAAACTTAATGATAAACACTGAATGAATTAGATCTCAACGAGTTGGAGTTAAACCTAGTCTACAGATTGCTGTGTTCACAGAGAGAGCAAAATGAGCTGACAGCTAACAGACAGAAAAACACTGTCTTGGAAAACTTAAAACAAAAGAAAAAAAACAGAAATGAAGCAAACTCCCTACTACTAGCAAATACTTGAGAAAAATACACAGACAGAAAAGGACACATGTTCAATTCACTTTAACACACAATACCTTAAATATAAACTACTACATTAATATAAGAGTAGACAAGTCTACAAGTCACCTTAAGATACACAAAGAAAAATATTTACAGACTATGTCACTCAGAATATGAGGACAAGTGCTCAGGTATTACTTTTGGAAATGAAAATTTTGAAAATTGAATGCCCAAAGACAGAATTTTACTCATATTAGAATATTAAACAAACTGGTCATGTACATTCAATATTCTCCTGACGAGTATTCATTTTCCAGGCATTTCTGCATTTATATATTATGCTTAATGTAGGGAAGGTAATATATACCTTTTGAGAAGGACATAACTATGTATACAGAATATCACTCAATACAAAAAATATACGCAGGTCTAATATGGAAATTTAGAAATCATGCAACATATAAAGAAGTAAAATTCAACAGAATGCATATGAAACCAAATCTGATGCATTGGAGACACAGAATTTCTTCTGCAAGTTACATGTGATTCTTTCCCTTCTTGTTATAAATTTCTAAGTTACAGACTCTTCACTGAGTATGGTTATAATGATGTATTCTCTAAGTCTGATACATAGGAGAAGTGATAATCTAAGGGAATATACGTTACAGATATGGTAAAGATATGACATCTTCCCCATTGGAGCGGCAAAACTTCATATGATGATCATCATAGGGATGTCAAATGTTTCTCAGGTACTACAATTGCAAGTGTTGACACTATGCACAAAACATGAATCATAGATTTTATCACCATGTTTTTACTGCCTTAATATTGCTCACTTTCAAACATACCTGTTACCAGTTTAGTTAGATGTGCTTCCATGTTCAATGCATATAATAAACCTGCCTCCTTCTTATCTCTATACAATGATTCCATATGCTTGTTCAATTGTAATTCAGAAACATTTGGGACTACTGTAATGTTGTGGGTGTTCCAACTGTGAGTTCAAAGTACACTATCCCACCTATGTGTATATGTGCTTGTGTGTGTGTGTGTGTGTGTGTGTGTGTGTGTGTATTTGCCTGCGTGTTATTTTCTTATAGGCCTATGTACTGTATTCAGAGGCAGGATTCAGATGCTCTTGAACTGTACCTAATTTGAAATCTCCCAACCTGAGGAATAGCTTCTACTGTGCCTGAAGTCATTATGAAAGCTTTCAAAGGTAGGAAGCAATCACTGTGCTATGATTCCTGTGAAACATAATTATGACCATCATGGCAAAATGAACTTAAGAGAATACAGATGTCAAACATACTTTGAGGATAACAAATAACTCTAACTAAAGGCTACTCAATAAGGGAAAAATCATGACGAGAGCTGGAACCCTTCCAAGATATTTAGGTATACGGACATTATCAATCTTGAAGGAGAATCAAGTAATGGTAATTTAATAAACCAAAAGAATGTCAAACGTTCTAAATATCTGTATTTATAATCACATAAATGTTTATACGCAACCCCTCAGCCAGGATACTTATGTTTGCAACAGAGAAGAGTTCCTAGACGGAATACTAGACGATATGCATAGATGTTGAATGGAATGCCAATGGACACAGCTACAATACAATATTTGATCCTAAGACTCAGGGATCATTTTGGAGGAGTGGTGTAGAAGAGACAGAGGATTCTGGGAGACTAATATATAAGAATATATCTTCTAGGGATGTAAGAATATGAACACATCATGTTTCAAAAAGGTGAGAACCTAAACATGAGGTGAACAAGGACATCAGTAATAGACATATTATCATGGAAGAGAAAACTGTGTTAGAATATTATTGTAATGCATGTGACCTTTGTTGTCACTCTGTGAAGTGGTTTACATGTACCTTTCTATAATTCCTGGTGGTCAAGTGAAGAGCTGCATGGGCAATAATGATGCATGAACAAGGATATGCAAGACGGTCCAGAAGAGAGTATAAAGATGATAAAGGAGTAGAAGAGGCAGTATAGTAAGAGAAGATGTAGAGGGATTAATTTAAGTTCAGAAAAGCTGGCTAGAAACAAACCACATAATGCTGGGCACTCATTAGTAAAAATAGGAGACACACATTGTGTGATTTAATCGGGAGAGTGGTGGTGCCCCTTTCCTGAAAATAGTCAAATGCCAAAAGAGAAAAAATCATTTGAAACATAAGAAAATTAGATGAGGTCTCAACCCTTCACATGGAAGTACTAGTGCATATTCAATATCAAAGGGTCAGCCATGAAATCACACATACATTTAACATATTAATGATGATACAAGTTATACATATATATATATACATATATGTATAATGTTAAGAGAATATATGTTTATGCATAAACATATATGCTTGTAATAATTATTAATAAAAAGATGGCATGACTTTCATAGCAAACAAAGTTGACACACGTCTAGTGGAAAGGAGGAACTACTTAAGTTTATTATAATATCAAAAATTGTAAGAAATATTTTAGTCAAAATATGTTAAAACTTACACATATTATTTAATATACTTTATTAAATATAAAATATTATCTATTATATCATGAATATTATATAAAAAGGATACAGCACAAAACTCAGAAATGTTCACCTGATACTACCTGCTTAAAGAATTTCTGCTGTTATTTGCAGGAGGAAAGTCCGTTATATATAATGCATACATACAAAGATAGACACAAACATACATATATACATGAGCATATACATACGAGTGTGGACCTTGGTTCAGTATAGCAAAATCTACATTTATGCAGCAATAACAAATGTTCCTTCCTTTTTTCCCCTTAGGTCTTTGGGTAAAGACTTCCCAGGTGTGGATGTTAAGATGGAGGAACACCCATATACATATAAGTAACACCTCTCATATCTCCATTCTTAAGGAATCTCAGTAAACTCAATTATTCCTAAATTTCAAATTTATTGAAACTGTGCTGGTTTGTTATGTGAACCCCATTAGATAAATGTAGTAGACCTGTTTATACCTTACCTTGAAAAGCAATAACAGCAAGAATATAAATACTTTATCAGCACAAATTACTGCTACTTCTGGACTTATCTGTGTCACTGTTTTCAGTACAAGAAAGTCATCTTTTAATTTCACCTAGACAGTCAGCATAAAGATATCTGTCAATTTCTGCTTCACAAGTCCTGGGATTGCCAGACCAATTCTTATGCTTACTGGAGAGAGAAAACTCAGCGGTTCATACATGTAATACAAGACTATTGCGGAATGACTGTGTGCACAGCTATTAAAAATGTGACTTCATATAAAAATCGCTTTACTATAACCAAGGAAACAAGCTACAACAAACATTATGAAACCTTCCAATTTTCCTTCGTCACTTTTTCTGATGCTGTCCTCTGAGTTCACTCTCAAGGATCAACTTAACTTTTCTGGTTGCTACACGGAAATCTGAGGAGACAAAAAAGTGTCTGTGCTGAACCCAGTCTGTGATCCTAACACATGCAGTGGAAAATGAGATGCACAGAGGACTCTCACACATATTACATCTCACACGTGAATTAATCATCTGTCAAAGATCTCAGCTACATTTGCTCTGTATTAGAGATTGTTTGAACACATTTTCAGTTCATCAGATGACACAGCTAGATTTTATTAATTTAGAGAAAGGGGTGAGTCAGCAGCAGAACGCCTCCTAGCCCAGTCACTTCCCACACAGAGGTCACTTCCGGTTCCAGGAGGTGCCACGGTGTCAGCTTGAAGCAGGCTGGGAATTCAGACAGTTGGGTGAGGCCAGAGTTGGAGACACCGAACTCAGCTGCTCCATGCTCAGCATGTAGGCCTGATTTTGGAGTGGGAGCTGGAGAGGAGAGCAGAGGAGCTGCTGTGATCGCCGGTGGCCCTGCTGTGGCTGCTGCTGCTCTAAAACCATCAGACAATGCTTCCAGGGCTCTGAGGAGCTGCCTCCCCCACCTCCAGCTCCTGGACATGAGCAGGGACCCGCTCATGGGGCTGGAACCCGAGCTCCTGTGGCTCCTGCTGCCCTGCAGCCAACCATCTGACATCCCTGCCAGGGAGGTGAGCAGCAGCCTCCCCCACCTCCAGCTCCTGGACAAGAGCAGGGAGCAGCTAATGGCCCTGGTACCCCAGCTGCTGACTCAGAGCAGCCTGAGCATGCTGATGGACAGGAACAACAGGCTTGACAACACAGCCTTGCTGCTGGAGGGACTCGACCAGTCTCCACTCTGTCTCAGACTCCAGGTACATTGCCTCACAGGCAACTTCTTCCAGGAGGGGCTTGATTAGCTGTGGGAGGGGGAGACCTGCCCACCCTTAACCTGGGCTGTAACAGGCTCCACAGTATGCCCGCAGAGAGGGACGCCTTAGATAATTTAGAATGCATATACCTTTGAAGAAATCCCACCAGAATTAGCAACAAAATCCAAAGTGGTCCTCGTCAGCTTTCACAGTTGCATTGATTTCCTCACTTGCCTCAGTAACTTGCTGACATACCTACCTCGAGAGCCTTTCACTCCTATTCAACTGCAAGAGTTGAGATTTCTAGGAAACCCATTGTTAGTTCATTTTGTTAGCGATTTAGCATAGACACTCCAACTCTTCTGGAATAATAAAAAAAAAGACCATTAAGATCCAGAAGTACTTCTGAAGCTCATTTTTATATTCTGGTAATCTGCTAAGATATTTGTGTTCAGGCATCAATTGCCCAAACCCAAAGTATGACAGAGTGTATTTTTGCTGCTGTGTCAGAGTGATTCAGTCTGTGGATTTCTGTTGAAAATATCACCTCCTGCTAACCCATTGTTTGTGTTTTCCAGAATGCTCTTGCCCGCTGCAGCTCTGCCTCGCACACCTCAATATCCCAGAATTTTTCTGACTCAGAAGATGAAACCAGTGATCGTGCACACAGAATGCAGAATGTTCTTCTCGTTTGACAGCTTTGGGTGCATAAACGAAAACTAAGCAAAGATGACTATAAAGGAAAATGGAGCTTGAGTTTGATGATAAAGCTCAGTGGTTTCAGCTTGAAGGTCTACGTAACAGTTGCAAAGATTTCAAAGGTTTTGCATTTCATGTGTCTGTTCAGCATGATTGATTCTAGTTTCCTGTTTAGATTATTTTGACTATAATTCATTCCAAATAGCAGTTCAAAATTTGGCTGGTTCATCACTTTGAACTAAATGAGGGAAAGTTGGACATGATTGTGCACTCATACATACAAGCACTTGGGAAGTAGAGGCAGAAGATCAGGAGTTCAAAATTAGCATAGATATCACAGTATAATTGATGCCATCCAGGAATATATACCTGAAAACTTGTGTCAAAGTAGGGGTGAGTTGGGGTTGAATGGATTGTTTTAACCAATGAACATTGAGAAAGTAGTATTGATAAAACTGGAATGAAAATACTAAAATGCTGTATCCTTAAAGTGTAGGAGAATAACAGTAGCACAAAGTATTAATATGGAATATTAACTATTTATACTAATGGATTATGCAACAAAAACTAATATTAAAACTATAACTTGGCATTAAGAAATAAATACTTATCTCTCAGTGCTGAAGATTAAATAACAGAACAGTAATAACATTAAGACTGGTTGGTAAAGAAATAAAGGAAGCTTTAGTTTGCACTGCACAAGCATTTAAAGGGTACTTTGTTAAAATTAAGTTGTATGCTGAGGATATTTGCATGTTTGCTTTCATATATTATTTTATTTTAGGAGATTATATTAGTAGTCTATATGTTAATTCATGTTTTGTGTGTGTTTCTGTTATGTCATGAAACAGGAGTTTCATGACTGCAGTTGTGAAACGCTGCTATAGTGTGTCCCCTTACCTTTTCCTCAGAATAGTGTAATAAGATCATTTTTACTTTTCTTTTTTTAGAGATTTTTTCTATGTTTATGAAAGTGATGTTTTTTCTGTTAATATAATTTTATGATATTAGTTATATAGTCTTTCATTTCCGCACAGTGAGCAACATTAAGCCGCCTATTCCAAAATTAGGAAAGGCACAGTTGACTTGGTGGATTCCCACGTATCAAACTGTACATAGTTTGTAATTAGATTATTTTAGTTAAGCAACATAGAATGTTATTGTTGAAAACATTCAAAATGATGGGGCCGTACACTCCTGGATTAAATCCTGTAGTTTCTTGATTAATTAATATCCTGACCTAAATCATAAGGTGAGTAGTCTTTTAGAAATTACTTGTGAATAACCTTGTGAATAGAGCATCTCACCATACATACACTATCAACCAACCATACATACACTTTTCAGCCTCATAGAAAGAGGTGTACTGTTACTTCTTTCGTAAATGTGTATATTCCAGCCTGTGACATGCAAATGTATCCTATGGTGGTCTTTCCCAAAGTGTTTATTGTGTTTTTTTTACATGTTTTGTAATTAAAATCTGTAAATAGCGTGACAAATCAGTAGTTTAGGCAGAGATATGTATTATAAGGACAGATGCAGTACCTTGTAACTCCAGAGCAAACTATAGTCCAAGAACATAGCATAGAATTTTTTCTTAGTGTAATCATCATTGTTAGTTGTTTTACCTCTCCTTTATTTTTTGGTTTGGTTTTATCTTTTTAACCCAACTGTGGCCATATCTTTTACAAAAGCTGCCATTGTTTGCTAGTTTTTTTTCTTTTCCATACTTTTTCTATTTTTTAAAATTGACTATATACATTAACTTGGAGAGATAGGAATTAGACATCCGAAGTAAACAGAATGTATTGTATTTTAAGTTTCAGTGTGTCTGGCTAGTTACAAATCCCATGTTTATCCAACAAAGAAATCTTTAGAGTTTCACAATCACCAAATGGTAGTTTTCATAATACAGTTATTTATTTTATTTTCTGTGACAGAGCAGTGCTAGCCTTGAACTGGACATGTACACAATTCTGTCATGTTTGGAATGCTTTTGCGTGGACTTCCCAACCATTGGAATCACAAGTGTAAACCATTAACCCAGCTAAATAGCCTTTTAGGAAATGTACCAAAGGTACCTGTTGCTAAAAGTATTGATTTCTAAATTAACCTTTCCAAAAAATTTATATATTGCAAATTTATTTTAAATATGAGAAATTTGGGTATTATAAATAACAATAAAGAATACAGTTAGTCCTCATTAAGACAAGACCTTATTGCAGAGTGGCTTCAACAAACTGGAAATATAGGGTAAAAATGAAGACTCAAATAGAGGCTGTTTGCTGGAATGTTAATTAAAATAAATCATTAAAGGCAGCAGAGAATAATAGAAGTCATTTGCCAGGTAATCCAATGATCTAGTAAAGCCCTGTACAGTAATAAAAAATTATCTTAAGTTGATTTACCAAATTTCCTACTACTACTATCTGGAAAACTTATCAATAAGTTTATTAATTTCATTTTATGTTTTATTATTATTATTATTTCCATTTTAAATAGCTTGCTTTACATTATTGAGTCATCTCTGCTATTCCATTGCTCCCTACAAAGAAGAGCAAGCCAGCTATAGGCTTTCTTTCAATCTTGCTCTTCCCAGAGTTCCTATTGGAAAGTATTTTTTTGGCCTCGTTCATAATATAGCAGCATAGCATTAGTGTACCTTTTGGTTGCCTTTAAAAAATTACACATTAAATTGCTGTAGTAGCCTATTACATACATAATACAAGGTTAATCTTCAATTTTCAGTATGAGTACCTGTAGATACAAGGTTACCAATAAAAGTATATGTATAGGTCATCAGGTGATCCTTTAAAGAATGCTTTGTTAGAATCCAGTTATATGCTGAGAAGGTATGTATGTTAGGTTTATTATGTGTATATAATTTTTATTTTAGTTCCTTATTTTACGAGATTTTATTAGTAGACTATATGGTAATTCAGGTTTTGTGTGTGTTTTGTGTTATTTCATGAAACAGGAGTTTCATGACTGCAGTTGTGAAACGCTGCTATAGTGAGTCCCCTTACCTTTTCCTCAGAATAGTGTAGTAAGATCATTTTTACTTTTCTTTAGGGATTTTTTTCTGTGTTTATAAAAGTGATGTTTCTACTACGAATGTAATTTTATGATAGTAGATATAAAGGTTTTTTTCACACTGAGCAACATTAAGCTGCCTATTCCATAATTAGGAAAGGCACAGATGACTTGACGGGTTCCCACGTATCAAACTGTAAATATTTTGTAATTAGATGACTTTAGTTAAGCATCATAGAATGTTTTCTTGGAAAATATTCAGAATGATGGGGCTGTACACTCCTGGATTAAATCCTGTATTTTCTTGATTGATAATCTTCCTGATCTAAGTAATAACGTGAATAGTCTTTTAGGAATTAAGTGTAAATGGCCTTGTAAGTAGAGCATTTCACCACACATACCCTTTCCAACATCCTGGAAATAGGTGTACTGTTTCTTCTTTCATAAATGTAGATATTACAGGCCATGGCATATAAGTATTTGATGTAGTGGTCTTTCAACAAAGTGTTTATTGTGGCTTATTTTGCTTATGGTTAAAAGTATGTAAATCATGAGCCAAATCAGATGTTTTGCCAGAAATGGTGATTATGCAGACAGATCCAGGGTGTTATAAATGTTGAGAAAGCCATATTGTATGCATAACATTGATATCTTCCCTAGTATATTTTCTACTTCTTTTGTTGTTGTTTTTTTTCTTTTTTATCCAGTTTGGCATTAACATTTACCTAAGCTACCAATGATTGCCAAATTTTTTTCTTCCTTTTCACACTTTTCATTTTAAAAAAGGAACTGACTATAGACATTACTTGATAAGACAGGAATTGGTCATCTCTATATATGATCATCTTCTTAAAACAGCATATTACATCAAAGAGGAAGATGGGCATCAAGGAAAGTCATTGTGGAGTTTGCCTTTGACATGGCAGGACTAGCTTTTTGGTCAAGAAACTTCACTTCTTGGATGACTTCACAGCAAGTTGTCAAAACTGGACCAGCAGGTTACAAAGAAAAATGACTGCTGAACTTTCAAGGGACAGAATGATTCTTCATTAACCTGCTTTATCAAAAAGTCTGCCAGACATTCTAGGCTTATAAGATGAAGAGGGATTCCACAATGTTGAAGATGATCCTTGAGTGACCTTCTAGGCATCAAGATCTCACTGTCAATTCTAGAGATTATACATTACCTTCTGTAGTCTTTCATGTTGTTTAAGGAGATATTTATGGTTATGGATTCCCTTAGTTATGGTAGTAAATAAGTTGCATATATAACTTTAAAGTACCAAAAATAGGATAGAGAATTGAATGTTTTCTTTAAATTTGCCAAATGCTAATCGACTAAATATTGTTAACTCAAATATTTGCTTATTAAGTCTTCTAAAGCTTAATAGTACCATTTTAACTTTAAACTTCATTGCTTATCCAGACAGAAAGAGGAGATGATGCAGGATGTCCTTCTGTGTGATGTGAGTATATATTTCTCTTCTTCATTGATGAAAAACGTTGTCCTGGCCAAATGTCTGGCAGGATATAGCAAGGGAGAAAGTACAAGTAATACAACCAGAGTAGGAAATTCTCAGAGAGGAATATGCAGAGCAAGTCTTCAGAAAGATGCTATGTAGCTTCTGTGAAAATAGATGACCTGGTCATTTTCTTGAGATTCACTGACTAATACAAAAGGGTTAGTAATTAGAGGGAGCGAGCCAATGAGTAGCCTTTGCTAAAAGGCAAATAGTTGATGATTTATGTAACCCTCTGTGTGTTTATTTGTCACTATAGTGTGGCAGAATCAAGATAAACACTAACTTCTGCCTACACATTGCTTTTACTGGATAAATTACTGAGTTGCTTTGTTTTGTGAACATGGATGGTAGAGAATTCCTATTCTCATAGTTCACATGGTTAGAAATGTGTTCCTGAGAATCAGTGCTGACCCCAATTGTCACATTCTAAATGTCATATGCAAACTTGCATTGAGGTTTTCTTATTTGCATCCTGTTCCCAATTGTTGTTTGCTAGCAACAACACAATGGGGAAGAATTTCTACATAACCAGTCTTAGACTTTCATGATTTGGCAGTTAAGTACCAACAAATGTGGCTGAAGAAATGTTACTTTTATTTTGGTTAAATTGTTATGTATGCTCTGACTTCTTTATTTTTCAGAACCTAAAATCTTATTGTTGCACATGGCTGTATAAGTGTAAATGTTATTACAATGTAACTCTCAAATAAAAATCAGTATTCAAATTTGTTATTTGGAAAAGATATAGTCCTATTGTATCAAGTTATGCTATGTTGCAATGGCAAATATTCTAAGAATAATGTTTAAACCATTCAAATTCATGTGCCTCCTTTCCCAAAGGACATGAAAAATTATGATCTTATATTAACTACGTATTCCTTCATGAATTTTGCCTTAAACGTTGTGCATTGTACTATTAGACCCAAAAGTCTTAGAGAAATTTATAAAAAAATGAATAAATTATGTGAGCATGCATTTTCAAAAATCAGTCGTTTTGTTGGTTGCAGTAAGGCAATCAGATGAGGCAGTGTGACTGTCTGGGTATGTGTGGATGTATAAGTAAAATCATAGATTATCACTGAAGTCATGTATAGGGAGTAAGGACCTGAACTGGAATTTTAAATAATACATTAGGAATCATACAAAATTAGAACTAGATATGTTATTACTCTTTTTTCACTTAATAGAAATGTTTCCTTGTTCCCATAAAGAATGATTTTGTTACAGCTTTCAACATATTTTTGTCACACATAATTTTTAATGCAGCCAAATTTCATACAAGTGCTATGAAATGTTACTGAAAATTAAAATGTGGAACAATTAACTTAGTGCTTGATTTGTCCATATAATAAATTTTAGAAGTCAGTATTCATGTAAGTCAAATGTAAACATATTTGCATATTCATATGTACTCATAGATAGGTCATTTATACAGTGTTTGAGTAAATGCACACGGAAGGCTGATTTGAGAGTTGACTGAATTCAGCAACACGAGAGACCTAAGTAATACCACGTCAGCCATTCAGTATTGTTTCCAGAAAAGTTCTAAAAATCCTTTGTTTTTGAAGAATACTGAGTTGTGATTTTGTTTCTTTCCTGTATTTTCCTTTGTATATTTTAAGCTATAGTCTAACTTTGGGACCCAGCCAGATTTAGTACTCAATTGGTAGGACATGGTGACTTGTAATTTCACAAACATGTTTCAACCTCGTCTTTACAAGTGCTCTGTTCATAGACAGTAATCAGAAATTTAATTAAATACATATAATGCTACTCTCAGATAAATGCATCAAAAATAACTGGGAAAGCATCATGTTGGTGCAAACACAGGATGCATTGTGTCATGTAGGTAGGGATAGATATGATAATATTTAGTTGTTTATGAAATATATAAAATATGCCCAAGTTAAAAGGCAGTGTTGAGAAAACTCAGGAAAATGAGTTTGAGAAGACCCAGATAACTCTATATGCATGTGAATTTGTTGAGTAATAAATAAAATCCTTAGTTCTCACAAGCCCATCTCAAAACACAATGAAGGTTTTTCTGAAATACTATAAAATATAAATGCATGGAAGATGGACCTCAGAGGTATTTAGAACATAAAAGCTGTTCCTTGTTTATCATATAACATTTGACACACGAAAATTTATGCAACATAATGTCAAAATTAACATATATTAATCTGAATAATATGAACTGAAAATACTTTTGCCTCCATTCTGGGAAAGTAATTAGGCCTAACCACTTGATGTATGTTTTTATGTAATTTCTCCTCTCTGAGGGAGACTGAATGATGTACTATCTATGACAATGAATATTAATTTTTAGGAGCTAGTTAAATGCTATTACCGCAATGCTGGTAGTGAATTCCTCCTAGGACTTAGGGCCTGCCTGGTCACGTGCTCCTGGCCCTAGTAACAGTACCATGTATTGGTTTCATCTTGTGGAATGGACTTTAAATGCTATTAGGAAACTTCAGTTTATTCCAGTTTTATTCTTGCCATTGTTTTATCACATGGCAGTTTTTCACAGATCAGTCATTTTAATACATTGTATTCAAAGTTCAAGAGTATTGGTAATTTATTTTATCTCTGATAGCATGTAGGAAACCTCCCAGCATTTCCAAACCGATCTAGTAGGGATCAGACTTTCAGTTCAATATATGTTGATTTCTCACTGTCCTATGATTTAAGTGTTTGGTGTTTTCAGCAATAGCAATTTACTGTGAAATTCTAGAGTTTAACCGAGAATATTACCAATAATCTGTAATGAATGTCCCATCCCTTGAACCAACAACAAGGAGATAACACATTTCTTGCATTGACCTTTGTATTTGGTAGTCTATAATATCAGTAGAGAAACTGTTGTCCTATTGTCTGTTGACCCTATTTTTACATGCTGATACATATATCTACACATAAAAGACATGTTTATAGTAGAAGGTTCCTATATGTATTATGCAAAATGAGTTCAGTGCTATTTATCCTCCATCATATCCCTTCCTGTTCCTACCTCTTCCATTCTTCTCAACATTTAACCCTGCATGTAACATGATTTTCTCTTTGTCCATTATACAATTGTTCCCAAATTTATGTTCTCTTTAAATACACCCTGATGGTCCTTTACTTGTTTTCTGGTCTATCTAATTACTACAAGTAGAACACACATATCTGAAAATCAATTGTCAGTTTTAACTATGAAGTTAACCAACTTTCAGGGACTAGCCTTGAATTTTATCTGTGGTTTCAGACTAGTCTAATATATGGGTTGTAATTTTCATACCCTCCCAAAGAACCTAAGATTGCAAACCTACATTATCTGATACCTCTGACAATTTATCTTTAAAAATTGTAGGCAATCATCATAGAGCATGGAATAGTAGATCTTTTAGAAGCTGTAACGATAAAGAATATGAAGAAATATCATTAAGCTCTTTCTGATACATGGGACATGTAGCCTAAAGGAAAGAAAACGTGACAAGTACATGTCATGTCCTCCTTTAAGTCCCTGGAAAGAAGAACTAAAATCTAAAATCTCGTGATAACTTTAGGGAGATTCTAATGATATTCTGTCTGTTTTAGGCACACTCATACACTAACACTTACAATGTATTGTTAGTCTTGGGACAAACAGACTACTCTTTCCACAAAAATAATAATAAATTAATTCTTATGAGGACTATCCAAAGCTTGCTTATCCATATACTTACTACTTAGTAATATATAATATCTCAGATCATATCCAAATCTAAAATTTATACCAAAGTGTATGGAAATATAATTCAGTCATAGACTAGTTCCTTAGTTTGAGTGAAGATATGATTCAAATTTACCAGGAGACAGGTATCTGTGTTTCTTTTTTTCCTTAGATTCCATGTATTTTTCTGAATTACTGTGTAGAATGTTCAACCTTTACAGGGTTAAATCGTGTTAAAGTATTTGTTAAAGTGAGAAGTATGTGCTTTTTTAAATTTGCCTTAAAAAGTCTTAAATTTTCATTACATTATCAAAATAAGTAAACTTCTTTGGAAATTAAAATGTTTTATTTTACGTGTAATAATTTTTATTCATTGATAACTTAATTATTCCTGGATAAACCATATCTTGAGAGAGTGATGCTCGGGAAATCATCAAGGTGAAACCAGTCCCTAACGTGTGTCCTCTTAACTCTGCAGCCTCTTAGGGTGCACCATAAAAGATTGTGAAGTGCTTTATTGCGATGTGTTCTTTCGTTTGTAAAATTATTTTTAAAACACAATTCTACACTACTTGAGGAATGGATTTAGAAACACAGCATTCGTGAAAAACCCTTCTGGGCATTACCAACTGTAAAACGCACATTAAAGCTAAAGAATTATTGCGTTGCCCCTCCCCCGACCCTGCCTTAGGAACCACTACAGGAAGTGCCTCAGAATCCCATTCAGGGGTCGGACCTGGCTGCCATGGAAACCAAAGGAACCAAAGTTTCTCTTTGTTTGCGATTTCCTTCAGAGCAGTAAACACAGTCGCACTTCCAGGCTATAGCAGACAAACTTGGAGCATTGGTTTAATAGTTTAAATGAAATCTTCTCTTTATTTGAGATTTTGCCCAATAAGCAAACACAGTCGCACTTCCAAGTTGGACAGGAATAGCTTAGAAAACGGAATTTCATTTTGTAAATGGTATCTGATTATTTGCGATTTCCCCGGAGTACCGAAAACAGTCGCGGTCCCGGGTTGCAGCAGAGTGACTTGAGAGCAGGATTTCTTTGATTAAATGGCTGTTTCTGTTTGTTTTCCATTTCTCCCAAGAAGCAAACACAGGTGGCAGGGCAGGGGCACTGAGTTCCTTTCTTCTTACATTTTCAGTTTAAGGATTTCATTGTTAACTAAAGACTGAACATAATTTACAAGACAGGAGTTTTTCTGTTAAGCTTTTTTTGTGTGTAGATGTGGCTTTATACATAAATCCTGAAGAGAATTTTGCTTTGTTACTCCTGTGTTAATTCCTGAATCAATCTGCTTTGTATTTTGTAAATGAACTTTGTGCATTGGATTTTCAGCAATTTTGATATTTTAGAAATTACAGTAGAAAGAATTATGCAGGGTACACCAGAGAAGGTGGAATGAGGCAAGATCTCCTGAGCAGGTTGCAAGCACGGTGGGGAGAAGAGAGGGAGCCAAGAAAAAGAAACAGTGGGAAGAGTAGGGGAGAGGACTTGGGGGAGCAGCAATGTTGAGACAGGGGAAGAATAGACAAGAGCAGGATGAGAGATACCCGAATAGAGGGAGTCATTTTACATTTGAGGTGAGGTCCCGCTCTAGATAGATTTACAGCGATCCACAAGGATGATACTGTTGTTAAAATGTCTATCTTTACCTAGTAACGGGACACAATCCATGAGTCAAAGGACCCACTTGGAGTTTTATTGGTGGACAGGGGAGGAAAAAGGGGGTGAGCAGTAACCAACATGTGCAGAGCTGAGAGAGAGAGAGATACAGAGAGAGAGGGGGTGGAGGTAAGAGAGAAAAATAAGAGAGGAAGTCAAGAGTAAAAAGAGAGGATGAGATAATGAGAGTAAAAGAGAGCATAAGTAGGCAGGACCCATTAAAGGGGTCCTTGGCATATGAGTGTTTCTCACAGAACTCTGGGCTGCACAAAGTGCTTCCTGACTGCATCCTGCATCCTGCCAGGGAAAAGTACAGGCCAGAATAATGCCTGAACCTTTCATTCCCACCTTTATTTATGATTAAAAAGAGATGAGGGTGTTAGATGTGGCAGGTGAGGGAATAAGGACATTGAGTTCTTAAGACTGCTTCCTGCTGACCTGGGTTGGGTTGAGCATCTTTAGGTGAACTAGAGAAAGCTAGGGTGTTTCCATGCTATGGGGTAGGTGGTTACTCCATCGCAGTCCAGGCTGTATGGAACCTTCTGGTGCCTTTGAAGATATGGCAAGATGTTAGCAGAGTAGAGGACAAGGTTGGTTACATTTTTTTCTTGGGTCC